AATCATAAGTTATAAAATTAAAACTTATTCATATTGTATTTTATCTTGTTTACAATTATTAACAAAATAATCTTATAGTTGCTTAAATTCAAGAGTTCTTGTGCAGATCAAATTGATCAATGTAAAAAATTTTAAATATCCCTATCCTCTCAAATCCAAACTTTCAAACTGTAAATTTTATATTAATCTATTATATAATAGTTTTTGATAAAGGGATTGCTTATTTAACTTTTTTAAGACTTTTGAACTTGAAGGGGAAAGAATTACTTATTCTCAAGAGTTACTTAAATTTGAGAGTTTATAGTATTTAAAAATATATATAAATAATATTATTTTTTAATAAGATAATAATTCAAAGTATATTATTATAAATATAAAAAAATAGTTTACTAATAATAAAGTTAATATACTTAATTAATTATTATAATTTTGTTACATAATATAATATATCTGAATAATTCACACAGAAAAGTCAGAATATAGTATTATATTTGAAATAGAATTCATACAAAAAACTAAATCAAAAGCAAATAAGAAATTATATTTTAAACTTATTCTTTATTTAATATATTGATACTTAAAATTACAAAATAGATATAATATCTTTAAATAATAAATTAATATTATATAAAATTAATAATAAATAAATAAATTAATAATAAATAATACTTATATGATAGTATCTCTGGAAGATGCTTATTAATAAATAAATAAAAAAATAAATGATTATAAATGAAATATATAAATTTAGTAATATACTAGCTAAATTAATAGAATAAGAGAAAAGAGAACTTCTACTAAGAAAACTATTTATAACTAAAATAACTCAAATATATTATGTAACTTTTCTTGATATAATCAGGTAATTGTGATATAGTAAGTCACATATAGTACAGTATGTGATGCAGTAATGATCTGTGAAATAAAATATAAATTTAATATAATTATTCTAATTTATTACAATTATCCTAATTATCTAATATTAATTTAATTAAATATTTATAAGATATTATTAATTACTATTTATATTATCTTTTAGATATAATTTTAAATGAGAAGGATTTGTAAAAGTAAATTTAGAATATATAAAATAATATTGAAGTTAAGATATATACTTATTTTATTAAGTTAATATCTAAAAAAATATCAGATATAATAAAGATTTATGATAAGTATATAAAATAATAAAGCTAAATCAGATTAGTTAATTTTTAAAAAATATATAAAAAAATAATTTTTTTATTAATATACATGAATAATTTTTATTATATTTAAAAAGAATAAATATAATATATAACCTTGAATATATTTTAATTTAAAAAAAATTAAATTATTAATATAATAATAAATTTATAATTATAAAACTATAATATTATATTATTTTTATTTAATTATATTAATTATAATTTAATATTTTTTAAATCTGAAAGAGATATAATAATTTAATTATGATATATTTTTTATTTATTTATATTTTTTAAATATTTTATAAGTTATTTTTTAATTTATTTCTAGTTAATTAGTTTTATAATAAACTTTTTAAATTTTTTATTTTTCTAGTATTACTTATTAATTATTTAATAATTTTAATTAAATATTTAAAAATATGATTATTAATAATTATTTTTTAAATAAAATTATTTAAATTAAATAATATTTTATTTTATTATTTTATAAATAAATAAAATACTTAAAAAATAATAATAATAATCTTATTTATATAATTATATCTATATATTTTACTAATATTATAAATTATTTTATTTAAATATTTTATTAAATTATTTATAAAGATAATATAATATAAATAATTAGTATTTAATTTAATATTTATTTAATAATTTAGTAATTAAGTTATTATAAATATAATTTCTTAATTAAATATAATTTTTATATTTATAAATAATATTTTTATATAAAAATAAGACTATATTTTTAAAAATAATATTAAATATAATTTTAATTTTAATTTATTTTATAAATATAATTAAATTTTTTTATAATTATATTTCTTATATTTTTAAATTTTTTAATTATTAGTTAATTATAATTGAAAACTTAATACTATGCTACTCTACCCTATGTACACACTACTCTATGTCCCCAACAAAGTCGTTACCTGCTGCCGGTTCTAAGATGCTAAACCTTTTCATCGTCGTCCTCACAGGTCGGCAGAATAGTAACCGCCTTTTCTTCTTTCGCGAGAGCAAGACGTGCAATACCTGAATACAGTTCCATACTGAGACTCAAATAAAGACAGAAACATATCTAAATTTTTTCGCTGAGTATTTTTGCTTAGTGGTCAAAGGCTGTTATCATAGTATTAACTATTTCGTATTTCGTTTTTTATCGAGGCTCCACTTTCTAGATGATCTATTTGAATAATGGATTCAAAATTTCGAGATCATCATATCGGCACAATTTTTGTTCATATGAAAAAAATTACCTTAAAAGAAAATGTAACCTAAGAAAATACATTCTTGCCTTATCAAGACATCTATTATTTATTATAAAAATAACTTATTTCATCGTGTCTTTAAAGAATTTATATTATTATACCAAAAGCTTTTCGTTTTGATCATTTTTGTTTTTCTTTCTAATTTCGTGTGGTTTACTTAGCTGCTTTCTTCTACTTTCATTCAAATTTTTAATTTATAATTAAAAAAGTGTCTGACCACAATCTAACTTATACAAAATATATACACATACATTATTCTCCAAACCCTAATCACTTCACTTTTAATCGTATATATTAATTTTCAACATGCCAAAAAGCATAGTGAAAATCTGTAGAGCTTTGTACGATTACGAGGCGGCGACAGAGGACGAACTTTCTTTCAAAGAAGACGACGTTCTATACATTCTTGAAGACGATGACAACGAGTGGTGGAAGGCAAAACTAAAAGTTTCACTAGAAGATGGTGGTTTTGAAGAAGATGGTCCTATTGGGCTTGTACCGAGTAATTATGTTCATGAGGTGTGTGTGTGTGAGAATATCGATTAAGAGAGTTTGGCATAATTATTGATGTTATTGTTATAGTTGAATAGAATAATCTTACTTTGCTACTATATTTGTTTTATATCTTTTCGTTTAGGCAGAATATAATTTAGTGGCAAAAGCCATTTACAGCTACGAGGCACAAAACGACGATGAATTGTCGTTCGAAGCGGGTGATTTGTTATATATATATGAATCAGACGATAGCGATTGGCATCTCGCAAAACTCAACGATCAGTTTGGGTTAGTTCCGGTCAATTATCTCGAGGAGGTGCGTATCTATATGCTTAAGGGAGAGAATAACCCACAAAAAGATATCTGTCTAATAATTTCTTGCTGTAAATATTTTATTCTGAAGAGTCCAGTTGACGATGTACAACAACAAGAGACAGAAGAAAACGAAGAAGCTAATTACGATGAATCAGAGGGCGCGGTTGCTAAATCACAAAATAATCCTAAAGTATCGATATTCCAGTCACTATCGGTAACACACATTCATAATTGATTTGACTATAATTATTGATTCACAGTTAATTAAGATAAAAAATGTATTTATATAGAGTGCTGCTGCTAATAATAATAACAACTCGTATTCCGATCCGTTGAAATTGTATGCTGCACGTCCAAAAGGCGCGTCTAATGCTGCTGCAAATGAGACCAAGACGTGGTCAGTTTCGGTAATTATATAACTATTCATACATTGTTAGCATTTTTTAATGGAAAGAAAAATTTTCAATTTTAATTTAACCTTATCACCAATTTTATTTATCGTTGCTATCATATATCATTATGGTCATTCGTTGTTAATTGTTATTGCTATCCAGGAAGTTGACAAGGACAAGAAAAAGAAAAAGAAGAAGGGAACTCTGGGGATTGGCAACGGAAAAATATTTTACGGCAGTGAATCTGATAAGGTACTTTTTTATTCTATATCTCCTTTTGCATCCATATCGTGTGTGTTTTATTTTATTGTTATTAGATTTAATAGCATATTACATTCCATGTTTAATATTTTTATTTATTTATTGGTAGGCAGCCCCCGTCCAACAATGGGACATTGGCGACATAACAAACATCAAACACGACAAAAAGCACGTGTACATATCATTCGGTGGCTCAAAGCCCGCCACATTTGATTTTCACGCTGGGACGAAAACCGATGCTGAAGCAATATATCAAAAAGCTATGGAATGTCGCGCAACGCTCAATTCGTTATCAACGGACGAGTCGTCATCTCATTATTCACATAATCAATATGAAGACGAAGAAGAGGAGCAAAGTCCTCAACAGGAAGACGAAGAAGAACCGGAACCGGAACCGGAACAAGAACAAGAGGAACAATACGAAGAAACAGAGGCAGCAGTGCCAAAACGTGGCATTATTTTGTATGATTTTAATGCACAGGGAGACGATGAACTTTCGGTGGTGGAGGGTGACGAAGTATGGATCATTGATGATGTTAGTAGCGAAGAGTGGTGGAAGTGCCGAAAAGATGATAACGAGGGAGTTGTGCCAGCTTCGTATATTGATGTGAGTATTTTTGGCAGATGCTAATTTTTCATTTACGTTAAAACTTGAGTTGTTTTTATTAATGAAACTTGTGTTAATAATATACTAGATAAAGCCTGAAGACGATGAAGCTGCCAATGCAGAAGTTGAAGCTGAAGCTGAGGCTGCTGCAGCTGCTGAACGACAAAGTCTCGAAGAGGAAAAACGTATACGACAGCAAGAATTACGCCGTGAACAGGAACGTCAGCAGCGTGAAGAAAAAGAAAGACGGCGACGCGAAGCAGCGGAACAGAAACGACGCGAAGAGGAAGTACAGAGGCAGGCTGCTGCTTCCGCATCGCCACCGCCACCGCCCGCTTTACCGAGTAAATTTTTTATTGTTTGTTTGCATGCTTATTAGTCTTAATTTATTTTAGATATTAAAAGGAATAAAAAATAATGTTTTTTTTTTTATTTTTTGTAGATCGTCCTTCGATGCGAGCGAAGCCTTCTAATGGTTAGTAGATTCTTTTTAGTTTACATATCTTTAAAAAGTTGTTAAATTCCGTTTTCTTTTTAAATTATAGAAACTCTTGTCAAAAAAATACAAACTCCCACGAATCGTCAACTTCCAGACAGACCAGCCCAAGCACAATCAAAATCAAGTATGTTTGTCTGAATATATTGTTAGTTGATTATTATATATTAATTAAAAAAAAAAACCAAAAATATTCAATAGAACCAATGCCATCCAACACAAGAACATGGACCGATCGCACTGGCTCATTCAAAGTAGAAGCCCAGTTTCTTCAATACGTTGACGGAAAAGTCCATCTCCACAAATTAAACGGCGTAAAAATTGCAGTTCCTGTTGATAAGATGAGTAAAGAGGATATCGCCTACATCGAAGAAGTCACTGGAGAAAAAATCGAAGATGAAAAATCTACCAAACATGAGAAAAACAATGACAATGATAATTCCTCAAAAATCGACGACAAAGGGGATAATACGCCGTTAGCTGCTATTGTGGCCGCCAAGTCACCTAAAAAGTATCGAAGTGATTACGACTGGTTTGACTTTTTCTTGAAAGCCGGTATTGGACACGAGGAAGCATATAAATATGCAACGTCGTTTCTTGCCGAGAAGATGGATGAGACTTCGATTCCCGCTTTGAATCGAGATTTGATGAAAGAACTTGGTGTTAAAGAAGGAGATATTATTAGGATTAAGAAATATCTTGAACAGAAACCACAGACCACTTCGTCAACTTCTCAGGCTTCAAAGCAGAAAAAAAGCGTGAGTTTCGGTGGTGCTGACATTATCAGCGAAAATCAAGAAGCTTCCGATAAGCAAATGGCGCTCAGGATGCAAGTATGTATTTTTTGCATATAAGTTAAATGTGAAATAAAAAATGTAAGAGATACCATTTGACTTTTTAAAATAAATTATATAGTCGGAGGAACTAAAAAAAGGAAATACTCTCTCCGAATACGACCGAAAATTGCAAGAGAAACGTGATCAACAACTAGCACTCGAGCTACAAGAAGAGGAGAACAGAATAGCACGCCGGGAAGGCAGGTCGATTCCTAAAGCAGCTGATATATACGGGAACTTGGGATCAATAATTAAAAAAGAAGAGAAAAAGCCATCATCGTCGACGACTCCCCCATTACTTTTCTCGGGAACAAATGGGGCGCTTAAAAATAATACAAAGAAAGCACGACCACAGCCAAGCAAGACTGCACCAATACAAATTGATGCCAAATCGTTGGTTAGTGAGAAGTCACAGATTGATGAAGCGTTTAAAACCTCGGGTTCTTTGTTTAATGAGGATAAATTTGAGAATGATGCTTGGACAACGCCAAGTATCGCTACTCCTGCGCTTGTACCAACTCCCGTTGCTAAAACTAATAACAACAATAATATATCCGCGCCTGCGCCTCCACCTCCCCCTCCCCCACCTGCTATCAACAATACTCCTGCTGTTACCCCGATTACCGTCAAATCTGATGTCAACCTTCAAAGCAATATTCCGTCGACCGTTAATGTCCCTAAAGCACCCACACCACCGCCTCCACCACCTGTTCAACTTCCAGTAATAAATTCGCGTGTTAAATCAGTTGCATCTAAATCTGCAGCGCAATTTGATACAAGCGCATGGACCGGAAATCCTATTTCTCTTACTTCCTCGCCTACCCCTTCAACTTTATCAACATCCGCTCCATCAATAAGTTCTTTATCATCAAATTCGACCCTTGTCGCAGCAAATACGCAACAACTTCTACAGCAGCAGCAGCAGCAACAATTACAGCAGTTACAGCAGCAGCAGCAATTACAACAATTGCAGCAACAGCAGCAACTACAACAATTGCAGCAACAGCAGCAACAACAATCATCGACAATACTTAATCCTATAATAAATCAGCAGTCATCAGTATCATTGCCACCACCCTCACAACCTATTATTGTCGTTCCTACTAATCAGACACTTCCTCCGCCATTAATTCCAGTTTCCACGGGTGGCCGTTATGTTGGAACTCACAATAATGTAGTGTCCAATAGCACTTCTAATCTAAATAGTTTGAATTTAAATACTGGGGGGCTAATAACAAATTTTAATAACAATAATAATATAACGAATAATAATAATAATCTCCTCACTACCCCCAATAACAATAATACGATACCACGCGTAAATTCTGCACCCAATTTGTCGGCATTTAATGCTTTGAGTGGTGTTAATAGCGGATTCAACCAAGCTAACAATACCAATTTATTAGGTACAAGCTCTTCTGCAAATTATATTTGCATCGTCTATCCTCTTTTCACTCGCTATTAATTAATCTATCCTTCATTAATTTTGTAGCTGTTTCACCTGGTCAACTATCAACTTCTAGTGGCGGATTCCCATCTACCCAATTTAACTCCAATTCCTTGACATCTTTAAACCAAGCCAAGTCAGCAACCCTGCTGACATCATCATTTACTCCTACATTGTCTCAACCACAAGCTCATCAATCATCGATTCAATTATCACAACAATTGTTAACGCAACAGCAAAACACAAAATATGAGCCTCAAAATGTATTCGCATCAATGAAGTCAACTGGTTTTGGAAGCGGTATGTATTTACAAATATATAAAATTTAATATAAACAATTATCGAATAATTTGTATATCGAATATTTTTAAATATTTGATTAGCTTCCAGCGATAAATATGATGTATTGAAACAAGTAGATGCACAAGCACCAAGTGTATTCAATAATCCATCTTTGAATCAAAATGGCAAGTATTATTTTTATATTTTTGGATTATTTTTTTCTGTTAACTAAAATTATCTATGAATATTTATACTTAATAGCTGGTGGATTTGGATTTGCTGCAAGTTCACAAACGACCACTACGACGACCACCACCACGAGAAACTGGAATCAATTAATTCCAGCGTCCAATAACACTTTAAATAATGGATTATCAGGGATTGGTGGTACTGGTGGTGGTATCGGATTAACCTCGCAACAACAGCAATTATATTTATTGCAACAACAGCAGCAGCAGCAGCAACAGCAACAATTGCAACTGCAACAGAATCAACTCGGAGCAACAACAAATTTTAATTCTGGGAATTTCTATAATCCGCAGCAGCAAAATAATTTGAATCAAGGATTTAATAATCCTGGATTCAACAGACAGGTAAATACCTGGATGAACTTTTTTGATAATGTCTTAAATAATTAAAAGTGATACTAATTTACATCTTTTTTTTATTTGGTTATAGTGGTGAAATGTAAATATAATAGGAACATCATTACTTTTCTGTGTAACATTATGTTATTAATTGTTTGTTTGTTTATTTATTTATTTATTTGTTTATTTGTTTGTTCGTTAGTTTATTTATTTTATGGACTATTAGTAGTGTAATCAATAATTTTAAAGAAACAAATAATTTATGCAGGGCGTGTTATTCACCCAAATCTCAAATGAAAAATGTTCAAAAATACCAAATTCATCTTAGTGTAATGTTGTTATAAATCAAATCCTCGAAATTAACGTATTTTCTGAATAAGTGTATGAGTAACAATATTATTTGTAATAACTAGAGATCATTTAAATGATGATATTGAATATAATGTATAGTCAACTCTGGTTATAACAACATGATCGCACCAACACTTTTGAGTCATTATATCCAAATGTTATTCTATTGATATAATAAACATGTTACAGTGGCGACCAAAAGTAATGACTCAGGGGCTAAATTTATTAATAAAACAGTGAAAATTGAAATTTTCTCCCTATATTAAAATTTATAATTTTAATATAGGGAGAAAATTTCAATTTTCACTATGTTTAATTTTCACTATGTTTTATTAATAAATTTAGCCCCCGAGTCATTACTTTTGGTCGCCACTGTACATATAATGAATTTATTATATAATATAATCACAAAATATTATTTTATGTCTTACAATATAAAACTGGAACAATCAGATCAGTTCTTGGATTCTTTAGTAAATGAATTCAATCTTTAAGTTAATTATGAAATAATACTTATGAATATTATTTTAAAATACAATTTCAAAATAATATTAAATAATATACATTATATTAAAAGTATATATTTATTTTATATTTTAAGGATATTAGAAATTTTGAATATTTAAAATTTTGATAATATCAAAATACTGAAAAGTTAGGGATTTTTTTTCAGAATTTTAATTCTAATCATATAATAATGTTATTATATTTAGTATAAAATTATAGATCGGAACTAGCAATTTTTGATGTTATAGTTAAAGTTTATTATAGAAATATTGCTATAATCAATGATTTTTATTAGAAAAATTCTGCTCTCATTAAATAGTGCTATTATATTAAAATGTTACTGTGAGAAGTGTTACTGCAAATAGGTTTAATTGTATTTTAAATAAAAGAATTTTGAACTGTGCATTTGAAATTCGTGCTCACGTGACCTGCGATTTTATTGGTCACTTAAGCTAATTAAAAAAAATATTGAAATAAGATATTTTAAGTTAGATCGAAAAAAATATTTTTATTTTACAATGTATATACTGTATAGGATTTAATGATGTCTTAGATCGAATGTTCGTAAAAAAAAAAAACTAAAAATTTATATAGTTCTATAATAGTTATCGTATTTTATATTTGACTTTTCATAAGTAAACCTCTTTAAGTCGATCGGTTTGTGCATTTCGACTAAGAGATGTTTGATTTTTCTTGTCGATATACAGACGCCTATTGTGTATTTATATTTAAATACTAAATGCTCACTTTAGCAAAACAATGAATCATCCTAAGGGGTACCCTGTACAATAAATCCCACAGATCAACAAAACAGATTTTAATTAGCGATGATGGCGGTTTATACGTTTGACAAAAGTGGTTAATTATCGTTATCGTTAAAAAAAGTCTCGATATGAATTTCAAGATTTTTGCGGATCAGAGATCATAACTTTTATCCCGATCCTCAACCTTTTGAACGCAGCTTATTGAAATCTTTGATCGAAACAACAGAAACAAACGATTCCAACAAATAAGGCGTACTTTTCTTACTCTTTAACTGTTTCGATGTAGCTGCCATTATCATTTTCACTTCTTTGCTTTTTCTTTCATATTGTGAAATCTTATCCTTTTACTAATATAAACCTTACTACTATTTTACCATCACAATCATCCAATTTGACGGCACTTTTACTGAAGGTTCATTAATTTCACCTACCTTCCAATTCACCCAGTTAGCACAATTTAATAAAATATACATATCGCGTCTTGCATTACCTCATCACCAACAAATGTTTCGAATAGTTCCGCAGTTTGGAAATACTCATAATAACATTACTATTCCAATACCCACATCATCAGAAAATCCAAAAAGTTTAGTCCTACCTGCGGAATGCCTTCAAGAGATTCTCAAATACTATAAAGATGACCCATATACACTCAGTTCATGCTTGCTGGTCGACCGTTACTGGTGTCAGAATGCAGTCGCAGCTCTATATCGTAATCCATTCGAGATAACTCGTAAACCATCGCCGAAACTCGTGCTCAATTACTTAAATTTACTTGACGAAGAAGTGAAGATTCTTCTACGCGAGAATGGTCTCGATATGCTCCCTATTCATCCGAAGATAACTTCCTCGGTAAATTATCTCGCCTCGCTTCGAACACTCCCATATAAAGCGATATACGATTGTGTGTCACAACTTGTACCACAGGAGCATCCGAGATTTTCACGTCCGTGGATGCGAAGAAAATTTTGTCGCGTCGCAGTCGAGGAACTATGTAAATACTTCATAAAAAATTGCCAAATGTTGAACGACCTGTCGTTTGATACAAAAGATATGATTTTTTACAAGTCAGAGGCAAAAATGCCCTTTCCCAGTTACTCAGGTGCTGATTCATTACTACGACAAATTCGAAGATTCTCATGCGGTGGCGAATATGATAAAGGAGATTTAATGTATGCAATGTCTATATCATGTAAAGAGCTTGACACACTCGAGTTGAACTTTTCGAGTTTTGATATGTACGATCCAAAGGATGGTAACCGACGAGAAATATATCAAATGCGTAGTCTTATTGTGTCACAGAGAAAGCTCCAAAAAATTATAATACGCGGATCTTATTGTTTTCTCGCTGATTTAATGCCTGCATTTGCCACCCAAGCGTCTTCATTGACTCATATTGAATTTGTCAATGTTCTGTTTCAAACTTCAGAACCACTTGAAGTTGTTATACAATGTCATAAACTAGAAACGTTAATATTCGAAGACTGCAATAATCTCTCGAATGAAATTTTGGCACCACTAGCAAAAGCATCTTTCACGTCTCTCAAAAAACTAATATTCAAAAATGCATATCGTAGAGAACTCGACAATCTGATCCCGATGATTGAAAACACCAATGGAAGTTTACGCGAAGTGCGATTCCGACGACGAGAATTCCGTAATTCCGTAGTACAAGGTGTGCCTGACATGCCGCCTGTGATTATTGAAACGATCGCGAAATCTTGTCCGAAGTTGATATCGTTCGAGGGGCATATCGAACAGGAAACAATGCAACCGTTGATCTTACTGTTGGAGAATTGTCTATGTCTTGAGCGATTGGCAGTTTCGGTTGAGAATCAATATGTCGAATTTTTCCGATCAAATGTTGCGTCACTTTTACCCTCAACGCTACGTCATTTGACAATTTCTTGGATGGGAAATGTTTTAGCAACTGATTTAGATCTGTTTCTAAGCAATTGTAGGGTCTCGTTAGAAACTTTACAATTGACTACCCCATGTTATATTGATGTTCCATTTTTGAATGCAATCATTCATTACGTCCGAAGAACTGGAACTTTAAGACGATTGGCTTTGTCTCGTCACACTCAGGTAACCAAGGAAGGGATCGAAAAAATGTTTGCAGTCATCAATTCTGTCACAAAAATCGGGGAATGTTGCGAATGGTGATAACTCGTTGTATTTGGTACCTTCCCTTCTCAAAAACTCAAGAAAAACTTGTTGGTCGTATATACAATTATAGATTAATTTTCATCCAGAAATGGTAAAATACACGACTTTCATGCCTAAATTTCATTAAGAATTTTTCTTTCCTTCCATATAGCCGATGCTCTTTATAGCGAGCTCGGCTTTTTTTGAAAAACATCATAAGAGAAGCTGTTATAACGAAGTTTATAATTATAACGATATTTCTATTTGTTTACTGATACGCAGCAACCGTCGTTATAACAACAATTTCAGAAATAATTATAGACTTTTCTGGCTCTTAATCTGATATATCGACTTCGTTGTGTATATCGGCATAAAGAGAAAAAATATACATATTATTAATATTGAAGTATGTGTGTTATTAAAGGTTTATATGGCCTAAGATCCTATTCAGATTGGTTTTAAGCGTCAACAAGTCATATTTAAGCGTTAAAAAGTCATACACTTGCATTTTTTAGCAAAAATAAATTTATACAATAAGCATACATAAAAAACAATTATTAAAAAAACCAAGAGTCAGTTAATAATATTCGAAAATGTAGATATTTGTTTCGAGGATTGTTATAATTAATAATTAAAATTAAGAAAATATTATTTCAAGTAGAGGACTCTAACGACCTTTTTTTGACATTTATGATCGCCATTTCGTGGAATAAATTCCTAGTCAAGATTTGTATATCGATATCGCAAATAAACATCATATTTTTAGTTGTTTAGCTATGACAAAATGGTATTTTAATGTTCTTTCACTAAAAGAGCTGTCTTTAAATTCAGAATATCTACCAAACGGCATTTTATGAATGTGAAAAACAAACAGACTAATTTTATTGCATTCCCGGAATGAACGGTTTTAGAATAGCAATTTTATAATGATGTATTACTCAGCAGCTCAAATAATATACAAATTTTAACGAAGGTATGTATGGGCTTTTATTTGATAATGTCAGAACAATTATTTTCCCAGCAAACTGTGATTAACCTCCAGCCACCGAATTAACAGAAGATTGAATTTTCTTCACAATGAGCCCAGAAGTGGTTGACTTTATGGAATCAGATCAAACTTTGTTTTTTATAGGTGTTAAAAAAATATATGTAAAATTTTTATATTATTTGAATAATCTCATTAAATTATCGTTATGATGAAATTAAGTTTCTTTTTCACGGATTGTATGTACTTAAGAATAGATAATATGGCTAAAAATAGAAAATGTAATATAAGATATAAAATTAAATATAAAATACAATAGTAATAAAAAAATGCAACAGGGATCAAATGTTACCTTTCTTTATATGTAAAGCCTTAACATAAGTATTTAGAAAAACTTTTTAAGTATTAATATATTTATTATAGTCAAAAACTATAGTCAATTTTACATAAACTAGTACAAAATACAATGATATGTCAAATAATAAATGATCATTTTGTTTGCTATATTCAAAATGTCAATTTTAAAAAGAGGATTAATTAACATTTGTAATATCTCAATGTTTAATAGTCGGAACTGTATGAACATGCCTAGACGAATCGAATGGTGGCATTTTCACGCCACTAATCACTCTCGAAAATCACAATCTCGGATTTTCAAGAATCTCGATCTGAATCACGTGCAAATAGCATCATTCGATTCGTCTAAACATAATGGTATGTTTTCACTGATTTCAATCACCAAACATTGAAATCTGATGAAGATTTGAATTTAAGGAGTGATATCTTAATCCTTAATGATAGGAACTGCATCATTCAATTCATCTAAATTAAATAATATTATTTTCATATAATTCTATTATAGATATTGTATTTTTGATTAAATATTTGATATTAATATATAGAAGATATATAAAAAATAACAAGATTAAAATATAAATTAAATAAAAGCTTAGTTTTGATTTTAAATTTGAAATTTAATAAAGTAATAACTATTTTTTTGTCCCAAATAGGATTGTTAATAAAGTGCTTCAGTTTATATTAAAATATATAATTCATTCCAGAGCAGCTCCAAAATAAGTTATAAATTTTAATATAAACTGAAGCACTCTATAATCCTAGTTACTAATCAAGATATCTGAGATAAAAGATATTTTAATATTGTTCAACTGATCTATTTATATAATCTTTTTTAAAATAGAAATTTGATCAAGGCAATTTTCATAGAGACACATTACACATTGGTGTATGATTTTGGAAGTTCGGTATCATCAGTATCACGTGGCAGTCAATTTTTTTATTTTTTTCCATAGTTAGGTTGGATGTCATAACGATAATAACAGGTGTCATATTGATATAAATATAATTACACAATAATCCCATGCAATTGATCATTTATTTTGTGTAATAAATATTATAGATATCATAAAAGTAGAATGTTGATCGATTTAATAACGCCAAATCATTGTGGCTGTATGACTCTTATTATACCTATATATAGATTATTACAATGAGTTTTTACAAATATATAACAGGTTAGTATTAAACTTTTCCGCGTGATTTTTTTTCTCGAAGAAATGTCTGAACAATTACTTCTTTGCTCTCTTAGCCAACTCATTATCGATGAGATAAAATTTTCAGGTATACTAACTCATATTGCCTCCCTATTTACCGAACAATAAAGAACTTACAATTGCTCCAATTTCTAGATGGAACAATACAAAGAGACATTCTTGGAGGAGGTGGAGCACACGCAATATATGGTAATAAAAGAATTACAAAACAAAAAAATGACTATATTTTTTTTATATTCAGAAATTACATGAAATATAAAATTAGGAATGCGCATATGGTTCCCATCACCAGAATCACAGTGCATCGCGTATCTAGTGCATGCAGGCTACGACTTCCCACCATTGGTAATACAAAAATTACTATCCCTCAACATCTCCTTAACAATAACATTTCACTCGACGCTTCCCTCCATCAGGGGTCTAAACACATTTACAACACCCAACCACCGCGTCTTCACGTATCAAACACGGCCAATCGGTACTGTGCCGGCAGACCTCCCCACTAACTACCTAAACGTACGCATTTTCCATTTTATATGCACGCCAGTACGCGCGATGCAACACGTGAATGCGATACTGCAGTTACGCGACAAGATGTTGCCAAGACCAGTGTTTGTGTGGGAACCGGTGCCCGATGTTACAAATAAGAAGTGTTTTGAGCAATGTGTGGAGGCGATGAAGATGGTTGATGTGGTGTCGCCAAATCACGAAGAGGCGGCTGCGTTTCTGGGATTGATTTCTGCGGAGGAGGGGGATGATGATGGTGACAATGATATGAATAAGTTCTTGGATGAGGAAATTCTTGTGAATATGGCAGATCAGTTTCTCCGATATCAAATTGGCGTTAATGGGATGGGATGTGTTATAATAAGGGCATCGTATAAAGGTGCATTAGTTGCAACTAAAGAAAAGAAGGAACTAATACCACCTTATTGGACTTGTACAAATACTACCACCGATAATAATATAATCTCGGAAGAAAAATCACGAATAAAGAGTAATCCACGAGTAGTGGACGTTACCGGTGCTGGAAACTCATTTTGTGGTGGTTTCGCAGCTGGCCTACTAAAATCAAACTATGACGTGTTTGAGGCTGCCTTATATGGCACAGTAAGTGCATCATATACTGTGGAACAACTTGGACTTCCGCGGTTGACAATCGATGAGCGGACCTCGAATGAATGTTGGAACGGAGATAGTTATCTTCATCATCAACAGCAACATTATCAAAATGATATTATTAGTGAGGATGTCTACGATGGAGACGAAAATCCTAATGTAAGATTAAGTAAGTTGCGACAGCGAGTAAAAGATAAACTAAAAGAACGTTTGAAGGAGAAGTTGAGGGAGCGAATAAAGGGGAAGTTGAGGAGAAAGGAAAATGGGATGGAGTTTTATGATGAAAATTCCGATGAAGTTTTTGAATAATGATCAAATTTGACTTGATGTTTTTTAATTTGCCGGTATGTTAATTTGCAAATCTTTCTTGGAATGTCCCAATTTATTATATTACATTGTATGTATTAATTATCTTTTCTTTGCTAAGTCCCATGGCGCAATTATCAATCATATCTATCATTATATTCTCTCGTGATTTTTATTTTTATCAGCCAATAAAAATGGAGTTCATTCTTCGAACTAGAATCGTATCATAATATAAAAATAGATAAAATATATAAATTATTTTCTACCGTAAAAAGTTAATGTTAATAAACAATGACGAACCTGCGAAGAATGACACATATTTGGGTGTTGTGTATTGTTCAAAGGTAAAAAAGCATAAATATAAATAAAAAGAACATACATTCGTCTTTCGAAAATAAATACACGAAACATATACTCATTTCTAGAAAAAAAAATAACTACTACCCAAATTAAGTAGTATTCTATATGCGGTGTTATTGTTGTGCAATAGTGATAGTACCCATAGTCATAGTCGAGGTAATTTCATCAATATTAAATATAGTGCATTTGTGTGGGACTTTTTTCGTCTTTTTATCACACTTAGTCTATCTATACTCGAGAAAAAAACCTTTTGAAAACAGTAACTTTTACGAACCTTTAGTTAAATTTAACTAATACTCCGAACATATATTTATTTAATTATCATTCGCTCTTTTAATACTATTACTCTTTACTATCAATAACTATCAATACTGCTATGAGTAAATCCAAAAGTGGGTTAACCGATGACCAACTATTCGGTCGTCGTCCCCCTCACCCTACCTCCACAGAAGGTTACTATTATCCAGCAACAACAACAACAACAAATTCAAACAATCTTGCAAAATCATTTCAACAACATCCAAATAACAATAGCTTCTCATCTCCATCTATAAACCTACCACCTGGCCACGATACTCCACCACCTGGCCACAGAACTGCACCACCAGGCCATGCACCACCACCAGGTCACGAATCTTCTATCTCACGAGACCCATCAATGTCTTCAACTGGCTCGTATGATTACGACGTATCCGATTATTACTATCCTGAGCGATCTTCTCGCGACCCGCGTTTTCAACAACAAAATCCTCATAATACATATTCATCATCCGCATCACGCGAGACACTTTCTCCAACTCCAATTCCAATTCCGAAAAGTTCTACGCGTCATTCACCTTCATCGCAATCACGTGGAATAACCCAACAACAGCAACATCAAAATTTTTCAGCATCAAATCCAAAAATGCAAAATTCAATAAATCAATCAACTTCGTTGAATTCTTTTACTTATGTTTACCCATCAAATAATTCGACGCCATTATCTGATTCTAATAATTTTTTAAATTTATCTTCATCACATCCTGATAACTCACCGCCATCTCCGTATATTGTGCCTGATCCACCTTTACCCGATAATCATGTTAACAGTAACTCAGCATCACATATGGATAAACATTCACAGCAACAAATACCACAGCATTTAAATTTTAATTTGCCATCACAAACCTCATTTTCTCAAGAATTTTCATTCTCCTCTAGGCCATTCTCCCAAGAATCATTAGCAGATCCTTTCAATAATTCTGCTGTTCAAAGGCAAGAATATTCTAGTAACAACAACAAAAGTAACAGCAACGATACATCAAGATCAATTCATATAACATCAGAAACCCCAAATCAACAACACCCACGTCAGCAACCGCTACAAATTCCACCTCCACAATTTCCGCCGACTAGACAATTATCCCAGCGTTCTGTACATTCTGTGCAGAATCTATCATTGTCGAGTTCGCCTCCTCCACCACAATTACATAAGGCTAATTCTACTTCAGCGCTATACAAAAAATCTAATAACAATAATAATCATAGTAATACATTATCTGACTCTGAACCTGTGACATTAGAAGAATATGTTCAGAAAGCAATAAAATGCCACGAAGAAAATCAACTCGAAAAGTCCGCTCATTATCTCCGAATTGCCGCTGAGCAGGGATCTCCGGCTGCAATGGTTCTCTACGGAATAGCATTAAGACATGGCTGGGTGAGCAGCTTGTTTATGATTCTATAAAAAATATTAATTCCATCAGATTAGTCAATAAACCTGGGTTTTTTTATATTCCAGGGTTGTAAAAAAGACGAAGCTTCAGCATTCAGATATCTACAGTTGGCCGCGAAATCTGCCTTGGGTGACCCCACGAAAATACAGCAAAGTGTGAACATGTCTAATGTAAAAGGTGAAATGATTCTTGCTATATATGAGTTGGGCATGTGTTTTAGACATGGGTGGGGCATACCAAAGAATAAGTCTACGGCTGCTTATTATTTTCAAATTGCGGCAGATCTGGTAAGTTTTATTACTATGAATCAATTAGATTGGATGTCAGTGGAAAATTTTTTTATTAACTCGTTTTTTGGAAAATGAACTAAATTAAATAGGGAGATCCTGATGCACAGAATGATATTGCTCTGTGTTATTACAAAGGCGAAGGTGTGAAAAAGGATATGAAAGCCGGTAAGCAGTTATTTATATTCGTGTTGAAGAAGTTTTGCTGCTCATTTTATTTACACTTATTAATAATAATATATCCATTTTTTTTAGCTGCAAAATATTATAGAATGGCACATGCACAGGGTCAAGGAACAATGGGCAATTCGTGGATATTTAAATCTAAATATGACAGTGCATGATAGCGATTTTAAAGTTTAATTAATATCCCGTTTTTTTTATTATTTATTCAATTCATTAGCATCATTTTTTTTTCATCATATCGCCTTGCATCTTCTCAATTAATTAATATTTATTTAGTATATCAATTTTTGTACTTTTACATTGGCATTCTACCACCACAATCTACCTATCAATCATCCCCATTCCATGTTAAATCAATTGTAAATATTTATTTATCTACTATATAACCTAATGATTTTATTGTTTTATTTTTGGTCATTTATACATACCTTATATTTCTAATAGTATATACACATTGTAAATCGAACAATGATTGTTAGTTTTTATTTATTTATTACATGAAATTTTAGATTTGCTGTTTTTAATAAAAGAACATAGAATTTTGCATTATTGAATTTCCAAGATCATTAAATTTTGAATTTGTCCTAAAAAAAGGCATCAAACAGGTGTTAACCCGAATACTTTACGTCTTATTGATGCACAATATGTATGATCGTACACTACATGGACAAAAGCAACACACAATTAAGTGTAATACAGTCAGGCGGAGTTTGCATATTCTTTAATTGTCAATTATTATCCGAAATGAAGTTAATGCATGTTCCCTTTTTCGCTATATTTGCAAACAATACTAAATTGTGAATATCATTCATTATGTTATGAAGATTAACGTTTTTTAAATTGTTTTTTAAAATCAATGTAATTATCTTGAAATTTTCATTTCGTAAGAATTTAGCAAAATGATTTTATTTTGATGATACCATCTGGTTATATCTTGCAATATTAAGATTTGCATTTTCAGATTGTTTAAAATATCAGAATTTATAATCATTTAACAGTTAAATTCAATGGCAAGTTTATAATTTTGAACTTCAAAATTTATTATTTTAGAGATAAATTTCTTTTTTTGAAGTGCTATCAACTAATCTCTTTTTTTATAATATATTCAGATAATATTTTAATAAATGATTTTTTTTGAAATATACTTAATTAATATATTTATTTTGTATTCAGCTGCAATTTAGTAATAAATAATACTAGTTTTAAATAATATGAGAAAAATTGTGTTTTTTATTAATAATAATAAGAGAATTAAAATAATCAGCTCAAAATTACTTGTTATTATAATAAGATTTTTTAAAATATTTTATCAATTTATATATAATATTAAATCTTTTTTATAGTTATTACACTTTGAAAAAGTAAAATTGAATAATTATAGAGAGATATAATTATAATAGCTAGAAAATTCAAAATGAATAATATTAAAAGATATAATTTTGAATCTGAAAATTTGTATAAAACTTTGAATCTGATAATAATTAATAAAAAAAATGCAAAATTTGCATAGATTATTAATTTAATAATAATTTATAATAATATTATTGTAATATGAACTTTTATTAAGAATATTATCTATTATTTAATTGATTAATATATATTATAATCTTATTAAATAATTAAATAATTATATTTATTAAATATCAATTTAAGAAAATATTATTCATAAATATTTATAAATAGTTTTATAATAAAATTATTACAATAAAGTTAGCAAAACTATCATAATTAAATTAATAATACTATTATAACAAAATTAATATTATGATACTAATTAAATTAGTATTTAAAATATAATAAAAATATCTTTATACAGTGGTAATCAAAAATAATGCAATGCTTAAATTTTTTACTTATTATAATTAGTAAAATATATATTTTTTCTTATATATAAAAGTTTTTAATTTTACTAACAAATATTTTTTATTTTTGATTCAAAAAATAGCTAAAGTTCTCTAGTTTAATATATATTTTTTTCAGAATTTTCAGATTTTTTTACCAGCAACTTGTT